TAGTGCGAGAAAGTAAAATTGCATACACAGTTTATATTATATACGATAGCCCAGTTACTGAGACCCTTAAATATTATTGCAAAATCCGTTGTCAAGATAATAAAAAAAGATAATGTCTGTTTTATTGCATTTCGATTTTGCCTTAAAATTTCATGACTAGAAAATGCTTTTGGCCAAACACTATAGCATGAACCAGGAATAGGAGCAAAGCTGGGAGGAATAACTTAAAGCTTTTGATAAGCATTAGAACGCCAGCCGACGTTTCACCAAAAGATTTTTCTATATGGCTGTAGTGGGTTTACATAGTTCAAGAAATCAGAAAAAATAAATATATTGCCCTAAACTGAGAACCCGACCGGAGTCTGCACTATTTAATTTGCAACACCACGTTCGTTGCACCTCACAGTCACGTGAAGTTATGCTCCCTTATTCTTTAAAAAGTGTCGTCTTCAAAATAGAAAGACAGAAAAAAAGAACTGTTCGTTTTTACGTCAAACGGGGCATCAACTTGTCAGTTGCACCTTGCTTTTCACTGAAGTGACGCAAACGTTGGTATTTTTTGATGAGCGCAAGAGGCAGCGTTGATTGTGACAGAATTAACCACGCGATAAGCTTTGCCGACCTTGTGCGTCAGACCTATGCTCTGTAGCGGTGGACCGTTCCGAATTATTATTCTCTCACCGAAGGACTGCAAGCCTGACACTCCTGAGTGTGCAAAACTTGTCTGGCTCCGTTAATTCAAGGTTGTTGTCTAGACAAGAAGATGAACAGAGCCAACCTTCGACATTCTCAAGACAATTTCAAGCATGCGCGCAATCTAATATACGGAAGTGTTGGAATATATCAGCAGTTATATCCACTGTGATTATTAACAGTTGCCGGCAAGACCACTGTCTCTCTCAACACTGACGCACCAGACCAAGGAGGAAATCTTTGTCAGCTGCTATATCTTTTAGGTTTGTCTGTCTGATTTTGTATTTGCGAGCTTAAGGAATCTTTCCTGTCCTCGTTTAGCCCCTGATGTTATTATCGTCTTATTGTCTTTTTCCTCGCTATAGTCTCCTTTAAATTAGAAGACATACAGCTCTTTTACCTTTTCTCAGTGTGGTTTTTAAGCCATTTGAATTTACGGAATCGTTGGGCCTAAGAAAATAAATAATAAAATGAGGGGAGAAAAATTATGAAGAAGCAAAAGGGCACCACTTTGTCAAGGAATAACACATAGGTTTGAACTGGAAGTAAATGGTGACTCATATTTCGTACATCTTATTTTCAGTCACGACTGAAGTTTTCAGCGTAAAAACAAACTACTGTGCCGACTACTATGAGAAACATAAGCGAGTGATATACCGCAACCGATACTTTCTTCCCGTAACCGACCTCAATGTAGATGCATTGAAGAGGACTCTGCCTCTGTACAAAGCTGCTATATTTTGTTGACGGATATGCTTTGCCATACCTTTTAGCGACGCACCGGTGAGCAACTTCCAGCCTGTACATTGAGTGACACATTTTTAAGATCTCCGGCAAGCTTCATCGAAGAACATGAAGTGGTAGAAGACACGATAACGAAGAAATATATGCTGCAGGACTTGTGAAACCTCCTTTACGCCTGCCGTCTATCGTAGCCCCCCATAATTGTCCTCCTAATCATATAAGAAAACAGTGTGAAATTGAAGCGTCTTACAGCAGACAGCTTCGCAGGTTCGTAATAGGTTTGCCACAGTATATAGCCTTGCAACGAGTGAATCAAAATGCTCGCACTGAGCCCTCACACATCGACTCTGACGAGTGGTGGGCGAACCACACAGAAGCCGTTGTCGATGAACCATCTTATCAGGGGGGACGTCGGCTGCTCAAGCTTGTGCAGGCAAGTGTAACTGCTTGCAAGGTCGCTCGTTGAATTCCTGTGGTTAAGAGCTATATTCTTAAAAATTCAAGCGATTTCGTGAACGTTTGGCGTATGTGAGCGGGTAGAGTTATACCAAGGTGCTCAGATAAGCGAGGAGATCCTGGAGCCAGCCACACGGTTTTACACCTGCGATGATCACGACTCTTCCTGACAGAGCCCCAACAAGAAAGTCGCTTTAAACATCATGAAGAACGGGGACAAGTCGTCGTAAAACGTTACATGACGAGGTTTATCGAGAAACCTACCAGCAGTTGAAGAAAGTCAACCCGGACTCCAAGTTAGGACTGACCAAGTTATATTCGCTGCGGCCAAATGGGATTATAGCGGCTTTTGCAATATTTGAGGGGTTTTATATATGTCAAAAACCGGGCTATTGTATAGGCTGCATATGCAAGTTTACTTAATAGCATTCTGTTCTAGCAATTTATTCGGTAAGAACACTCTCCTGCCAGAGCTTAAACTACAGTGCCTGGACTGCAAGTAGCAATACTGTTAACATGAATGGCTTATTCTGCTCCTCTGTAACGTCCCTCGGATGTACTAGGGGTTGCTATGAGCATATATAACAGCAAATCGATAATGGTAAAGTAGCTTCCAAGAATATATGTTATTATTGAGGCCGCGAGTACCATTACAGTCAAGCAAGCATAGATGAATCACGGACTGAGTGACAGGCCTAAAATTAATTATTTAAGTGGTTGTTCCCGAAATAAAACAAAAAAATATTACACCCAAGACTTTTATCATATATTTCTAAACCTTATAAGTTATCACCTAGGAAGCCGAAAGAAAAAAAAATGGCTTTGAAAAAATTGACTTTAAATTTCTTGAAAGTTTACATTTTTACGAAGAGGCTTGGAGTTAGATATAACATTTTTCGTAAAGAATACCTAGAAGATAAAAAAAACAAAAAACATTCCACCAAATAATTTGCGATTGTAGCTATGCAGGGATACTTGTTTAATGTCATTATCTTTAACAGTTCGCTCACTGGAAGAATGAAAATTGGAGACAAAATTGCTCCCGGGAGAAAGTTCGATATTTTATTTAAAAAGAAATTAACTATAAAGCCATAAAATTTTTGCTTTATTAGTAGAAATGGTCCTAAATTGCCACTGAAGTAATTTTCCAAAAAGGCCGTTTTTGATATGATACAGTTTAAAATGTGTTAGTTACCGCATATACCAAGTCCTATATTACAAAACCGCATGTTCATCTCCGGGCAATAGAAATACATGTGAACTCTTTTTTCTCGCGGACTACATTGTGTGAACCAATGAAAGCCCTACAATACGCGCAGATTCCGAATGATTTTATTATAACTTGTTTTGAAGAGAGTCTGATAGGTACACATTCGAATAAGACTCTTCTTTTTCTCCAAGGGCGAAGATAGCGCTTGCAACTCGCCGAAAAGCGCCCGTCGTCGACCACCTCACTCCGAAGAAAATTCTTCCCGAAAAGGGCGTGTCGCAATCTTTGAACACGCTTTTAACGAGGAAATAAGCTACGCACGATTGTAATTTCGGGTTTGTTGGGATGCTTAGAGAGTCTAGATTGAGTTGTCACCACAAACGAACGATCTCAGAATCGACTTCAGTGCCCCTTTCACATTCCCGGCATCGTAAAAAAATATACTAGCAGCTTCACTTGAGCCAACAGTCTTTAAACGACGTCCGAAGTTAAGAAAAATATTAAATTGACTTTTTGACACATTTTACCTTCTGGCTGTCGGTAATCCATTTCTGTGAAATTGTTCCGTTAAAAACACTTTTAAAGGAGAGCTTTGTTGTTCAGAAGAACAAAACCACCACATACAATAAAAAAAAATTTACCCCCCTCCCTCCGATAATTTTTGTTGAATTCAAATGACACCATGAAACCACCCACAGAGAGTTTTTTTTTTACATGCCAAACACTTTAAAAAAAGGTGGGCGAATCTTACATGGGTGCTGTGTTCACTGTGTATTTAACGGACTCAGTGGAGAGGGCGTGTTATGATTCAGAAGTATGAACTGTGTTTACAATAGTAGGGGAAGAGATCCTTTTGTTCAATTTTGAAGGTGTATGGATGTTGCTTTATCGCGTCGACCTGCAAACGTTGTCAACGTTCTTGCATTGTGTGATGTAGACTGTGGCGCTTGAACTGTATAGACTTCGTGGTTTTGTGTTGGTGGAGATAACCTTGAGGTTGAGACTATATAAGGAGGTGGGCTAAATAAATGAGTTAGCTGAGTTTAAGACGTCGTCCTTACTATTTTCTGTCCCTTCTACGTTTTGATGTTTATTCTCTACCCCAGTCTCAGGTCAGTTCAACATGGTTATCGTTTTATTAAGTTAAGTTAATTTTTTTACTATAATATTTACCTTTACAAAAGTTAAACTTAATATGTTATTAATACAGGGTGTATTTTTTAGCTGCACCAAATTTTCAAAAAAAAGAAGAGCTGCGTTAGGGCACTTTTAGTTATGCCATTAGCATACCCGACCTGGCGCCTACTAGGAACCAAGTATTTTGCGCAACTAGGCGACTAATTAACGAAGATCTCTTAATTAACTTCTTTAATTATTGTTTTTAGAGGGCCTATTGCATTTACGAAATTGAAGCCCAACCTTAACATGCTCCAACCCCACAGCGAAATAAAGGCACAAAAAATTTCTGCGCGCGTTTCTGGCTAAATTATTTCATTCCCGCGTGCTCTTTCAAACCGAAACTGACCAGAACAAGAGCGTCAATGGCGTCGATATCTTCGCCCTCGCTTGGCGTCACAGCAGTGACGTCACCTGTGATGCAGGCACTGCCGTCAGCGCTTTTGCAATACGTTGCTCCCTCCTTAGTGTTTTGCTTACCGCGGCAGGTGTCATTTAGGCGTCTGCGGTCGGCGTCAACTGTGCTGTGTCGGTTTAGAAAGAGTTATACACGTAAAAACAGGGGACGGGACAACACATCTTTCAACTTTCAACAAACAAATGAATTTATTGCCAGACGCTTCGCCTTCGGAGCTCCACTATAGGAGAGGGAAAGTTAAAAGGAAGGGGAAGGAGGGCGGAGGGGGAGGGGGGGGGGGGGCAAGACAAGGACCCGGGGGAAAAAACTGGGGGAAAGTAAAGCGCAGAGACAGCGGAAAGGAGAGGAAGGAAGGAAGCATCCCGATTTCCCTCTCAGGAGCAAGGGGCGCTCGCCCGGCCCACCAAGGCCGTCAACTCCGGTCTCAGGAATGTCGCCTCTCTCTCGGACAGCGACAACGAGGCCGAGGAAATGTTCCTCGGCGCCTCTTTTATGGCGAACGCCTCCACGATCTCGCGCCCGTAGCGGTTCTTGTTGGCCCCCAGAACACGCGCGGACGGGAACTCGGGGGCACATGGAGCGCAAGCCTTGAGGTGATGGACCATGGGGTGTTGGGAGTCTTCGTCGTTTTTTTCCCGATTTCTCTCTCATGTTCGCGCAGGCGGTCGTTGAGGCAGCGGCCCGTCTGTCCGATGTACTCTGCGCCGCACGAGAAGGGCACTGAATACGCCCGTCCGACCGCGCAGGGAACAAAGGGGGCCGCATGCCTGTTGGCGCAGCTGATCTTGGGAGGAGGGGGAGAGTTTACCAGGCGGCACATGGCGCTCAACTTGAAGGGGCACGAAAACGCAACGTCCATGTCGAAACGTCGAGCCACTGTTTTTAGTCGGTGGGCAGTGTTGTGGAAATAGGGGATGGTTGTATACCTCTGCCGGGCAGGCTTCCGAGCGGTGGCTTTTTCAACTATTAGTTTTCTGAGCGTGGAGGCCGGCAGGTCGCGCGGGTATCCGGCGTTTGTGAGGCGGCTGAGCTGTCCCTCCAGGCTAGATGAGGAGAGGTGTTGACAGGACTTTGTGCGGGTGGAGGAGATGAGACTTTTTGCGATGCCTGCTTTTACTGTCTTTGAATGGTGGCTAGTAAATGGTAGCACCGGCTTCTGCGTCCGCTGCTGGAAGCGCCAGCAAGTGCCTCCCTGGGTGGCCACAAGGCGTACGTCCAGGAACTGGAGACCCTCCGCCGAGGGGTCCTCCCTGGTGAAGCTCAGGCCATTGGCGTTATCCGTGAAGGCCTTCTGGATGGCGGCGGTGGGCGCGCCGGAGTCGTGGAGCACCAGATAGTCATCCACATATCTGAACACCTGGGTTCCTGGGGCGACGCTCTCCAGTTGCTCCTTCACGGCCTGATCCACGAAGGAAAGGTAGACTTCGCTGAGCGAAGGTGCCAGGCAGGACCCGATGCAGACACCCGATTTTTGTAAATATATTTTCCCGTCATGCTCCACCATGGCCGACCGAAGATATACCCTGATTAATTGCAGAAACGCGCTGAGGGGGATGCCGGAAGAGTTTTGGAATTTGACGATACCCTGTGTGGTGATGGCTTTTTCTACCGCATCCAGGAGGATGTTGAAGTCGAGGCTGTAGTACATGTCGGTGATGTCTAGGGAGAAGAAAGTGGTACCTGGGCCTGATGTGTGGAGAAGCTGGAGGGCTGGGAGGAGTTCCTGAGAGCTGCCCACGCGGAAAGGCTGGTCCAGGGGGACGGCTGCCAGGTGCTTCTGCAGGTAGAGAGCCAGAGGCTTCTGCCAGCATCCATTTTCTGATACGATGCTCCTTAGCGGGATCTCCGGTTTGTGGGTCTTGGCAGTGAAAAAAACTTTTAGATACTGGTTCGCAGGGTCCGACACTCTCGTGAGAAGCGACGAAAGGTTGTTCGACCTGCAGATGTCTTTGACTTCCGAACGGAGGGTGCCGGACGGTCTTTTGTTAACGAGGACGAAGTTTTTCTTGATGGCGAGTTCAACCTTTTCACCGAAGTTAGACTCGTTCATAACCACAAACACTCCTGTCTTGTCTGCCTCCAAAAGCCTCAGGTCAGACCCCCTGAGTTCATTCACCACTTGGGGGAATTCTGGTTTGGTTGGGTGGGCTGCTCCATGCATGCACACCAAACGGGAACCAACGCCGAGGAACTCTTGTCGGGCAGGCTCCGGAATTCTCGACGCGATCTGGTGTACCGCTGCGAGCTGATCCACTCTTGACGGTGTGACAGGCGGAGCGAATTTGGGTCCCTTTGAGAGCAGCGCCTCGGCTAGCGGTGATAGTTTCGAGCCCGAGAGATTTAGCGGAGGCTGAAGCTTGGGACACTGGTTCGCTCGTTTTTCTGTGGATGCAGTCGCAATTACGAACTTCCAAGATGAATCCAGGAGGTCTTGTCCTGACTTGGTTAGAAATATGTACGAAGGGTGAACTGTAAAGCGGGCACCGAAGATGCCCGTCATGAGACCGGGAAGTGACCTCTGCATGACAAGGATTTCCTGCGAGAGCTCACTGCGTGCTATCTGCATGACTCTGTAGTTGGCAGTCCAGCTGGCAGAGTTGAACTGAATACACCCGTCCGACCCTGCGCGGTCGGACGGGTGTATTCAGTGCCCTTCTCGTGCGGGGCAGAGTACATCGGACAGACGGGCCGCTGCCTCAACGACCGCCTGCGCGAACATGAGAGAGAAATCGAAAAAAACGACGAAGACTCCCAACACCCCATGGTCCATCACCTCAAGGCTTGCGCTCCATGTGCCCCCGAGTTCCCGTCCGCGCGTGTTCTGGGGGCCAACAAGAACCGCTACGGGCGCGAGATCGTGGAGGCGTTCGCCATAAAAGAGGCGCCGAGGAACATTTCCTCGGCCTCGTTGTCGCTGTCCGAGAGAGAGGCGACATTCCTGAGACCGGAGTTGACGGCCTTGGTGGGCCGGGCGAGCGCCCCTTGCTCCTGAGAGGGAAATCGGGATGCTTCCTTCCTTCCTCTCCTTTCCGCTGTCTCTGCGCTTTACTTTCCCCCAGGTTTTCCCCCGGGTCCTTGTCTTGCCCCCCCCCCTCCCCCTCCGCCCTCCTTCCTCTTCCTTTTAACTTTCCCTCTCCTATAGTGGAGCTCCGAAGGCGAAGCGTCTGGCAATAAATTCATTTGTTTGTTGAAAGTTGAAAGATGTGTTGTCCCGTCCCCTGTTTTTACGTGTATAACTCTTTCTAAACCTACATCATTACCAACGCGCTCACTAAGAAGTGTTTTGTGTCATATCCCTCTCTTGACCTGCGGGCGACGCGACGCTGTCGTTGGTACGATAAATGCTGTTGCATGCATTACCAACGGCCGGCAACGTTAGACGAGCTTTCTGCGTTTTATTTGGACAAAATATTTTTCAATGCTGGAGACTTCTGCTACCTATTATTTGCCACCGCTGCTTTATTTCTGAGTTCTTGCTTTTTGATGCACTAAACTAGCCAGGTTCTTTTTAAAGAACAAAGTAATCATGCTTGTGTAATATCACTCGTTGGCCCCTCTGGCAGTTAAACTATTGCAGCGTGTAACCAAATAATCTTTGTTCTATGTTTTATGGGCTCTTAATAAATGAGGAAGGAGCCTTGCACCGGCGTCCTGGCTCACGTTATGGTAGTCATGTGCTGTGCGCGGCACAGTGTGAACACGGCATCGGCGCTTTTTCAAGTGTCGCTCAAACAGGGCACTGTTGAGAACAAAGTTTTACTGCCTCACTTAGAGCCCCAAATAATATTGAAAGAATAAACAGAGGGACGGAAAGAGCAACGCATCTTTCGTGCCTCTGTCCGTCCGGCTCCCTGTTTATTCCACTGTCCGTCCCTCTGCTTATTATTTCAGTAATATTTAGTTTACCAACACGCTGATGTCTAACTTAGAGCCCCACATTAGCACTTTTCACAGCACCAGTATTTTTCTAAACCTTTTAGTTCGTCGAGAAAAGCAGGCAAAAATATGGCTTAGCGCATTTTAATACTTAAAAAAAAGAAGAAAAAAAAAGAAAGCTTGGCAGCCAAAGTGATTTGGGCACGTGATAAGCCACCCAGCGTTTGCCGCCGCCTGGCCACTTTATGAAGTTGGAAACAGTTGCGTTCAAAGTAAGTGCTCGAATTGGAGTCCATCTGCAGAAACGCACATCATCAGTCGGCTCCGCATTGAACACAACGCGCGCTCGAGGCGGCGACGATTCTTTGTTTCAGGTTGTCCACGCTGGTGGGTTCCGTGGCGTAGACTTCATTCTTCTCATAACTCAAAAAAAAAAAAAAAAAAATCTAACGGGCTCAGATCTGGTGTTCGTGCCGGCCACGGAACTGGACCACTGCGTCCAATCCACTGCTCTTGTAAAGAACGGCGTAGAAATCGAACAGCACGCGAAGAAGAATGCGCTGGAGCGCCGTCCTGTTGAAACCACGTCTTTTTCAGCACGCTGAGAGGCAAGCCGGCAATAAACTCTTCCACGACTCCCTCGAGGATTCTCTCCGTGTATAGTTTTCCGTTCAGTGTGCCGTCAAAGAAATACGGGCCAATGATTTTATCATTAAATATTTCACACCACCGTACCTTAATAGACCATTTCACTTGATGTTTGTGCTGACGGAGCCAACGAGGATTTACACTTGCCCAGTAACGGGCATTGTGGAGGTTCACCGCTGAATTTCTGCAGAATTGAGCCTCATCACTCCAAATAATTTTTTTCAAGAATCCAGAATCCCGGTACATTTCAATCAGGGCCCAATTGCAAAAGTCCAGAGGCCACATTCACGAAACGATCTTACGCCAAAAATGTGCGTAAGACAAAACTTAAGAACAAATTCGTATTCACGAAACGAAATTTTCGTAAGTCTTGCGCAGGTTACGACAGAATCGTACGACAGCTCCGAAGCTGTTTTACGTACTTCTTACGATCAAATCAGCATGGCCGACAGCGTCGCTCGGTTACTTTGTCGCGACGGCCAACAGACGTTTATTTTTCTACGTGCGTGCGCGTCTCACGCGTCCTGACTTCAAGCGGCAAGAAAAAAGTCAAAAGTACTTGAAACAGACCACGACGAACAATAACGCTGGATCCACAAACATCCGGGAAAGGCTCCAGCGGCCACGATTCACCAAGCGAGTTCGGCAGATAGCCCTAGCAGGCACTTCGACTTGGCGCAGCGGTGCTCCGACGGTTCTTGGCCAATACCGTCTGCCCACGGCCGGCTGGCGTACTGAATGGAATATGCCCCCGTGACCCTTGTGAACCCTTCCCGTATTATAGTTTGATCGCTGACCTCAATTTTAGATAAAGAGGTCAATCTCTTCCTTTTGTCATCTCCTTGTTTTCCGATGCAGCGGTGACGAACGCTGTCGTCGAAAACGGACTCTCATCTATACCTATTCTATCTTTTCGTTTTGTTTGATATAGAGCTCAAATAAACGACGTTTGCAAACGACTTTTTATCAACAACGGCAGTTGCGTTGACTTTGTAGCGATCGAGTTCGTAGCAGTCAACGGAGGGGGTTACGCATCCCGGCCTCGGCATTCGGGCGTGTTTAAATCGTGTTATCGTGGACATATTGCTGAACAGACACAAACCCCAGACAAGCGGTGGCAGAAAGGCCGCCTGTGTTTGTTATGAAAAATCCACGTGCTCCGAACGGCTCTGAAGCATGCCGAGCTCTCCGATTGGTTGTTCGTGCTGCCAAAGACGCAGTCGCCATAGCAACAGCACCGGTAAGTTCTAGTTTTTCCGTATAAGAACGTAGCTTTCCTCCTCTCACTTAAGAATGCGTTCGTGAATACCGATTTCTCCTCTTCTTACGATGTTCTTAACTTACGAACTTCTTAGGTAAGTTGACGTAAACTAAAAAGCTCTTCGTGAGTCTGGCCTCAGTTGTCGTTGGAAGTCACTGCAATGTAGCTCTTGGTGCAGGCTAACGGGAAACGGATGCATGCGATGTTTCACAAGCACTTTCCACACTGTAGAGATCGTTGTCCCAGAAGACCTCGCAATTTCGCGCACGCTTGCTTCAGGCTTAGCTGGTACGTACGCGAGAACGTCAGTCTCGAATTCGCGGCTAAGGACATATTTTTTCTGTCTTCGCCCACTCACCACCGTGCCACTTGATGCAAACTTCTTGAAAACGCGTATGAAGAGAGTGTGGGCAGGAACGAAGCGACCTGGGTGCTGTGCGGCATAAAGTTGCGCAGCATGACGAGCATTCTTTTGCATAGTTAAATACGCGATCACCATGTCTGTTTTTTCTTCAACCGAAAGTCTTGTCGCAATGAGCGACGTTATTCAGATGTGTTTCCTGCCACAGTCAGAGAAAGAAAGGCACGGCAGTATGCATCGCATAGCGCCTGTGTTACTTGTAGCCTTCGTCCTTCCAAAGTTATGGGTTTAAAACTTTGTCTTTTACACCAGAGGAGCAAGTGACGCAGCGTTCGTCGCTTTGTAGCACCATTGACACAAGCCTTCAGAGCAGCTTCCATCATATCAACGAAAGGAAAGGGTAGCGTCACGATGCCCGCTGGGACAGCGTGATTTACGCCTGCCGCGGTAAGCAAAACACTAAGGAGAGAGCAACGTATTGCAAAAGCGCTGACGGCAGTGCCTGCATCATAAGTGACGTCACTGCTGTGATGCCAAGCGAGGGCGAAGATATGGACGCCATTGACGCTCTTGTTCTGGTCAGTTTCGGTTTAAAAGAGCATGCGGGAATGAAATAATTTAGCCAGAAACGCGCACAGAACGTTTGTGTGCCTTTATTTCGCTATGGGGTTGGAGCATATAGGTTGGGCTTCAATTTCGTAAATGCAATAGGCCCTCTAAAAACAAGAATTGAAAAGTTAATTAAGAGACCTCCGTTAATTAGCGGCTTAATTGCCAAAAATACTTTGTTCCTAGTGGGCGCCAAGTCGGGTATGCTAATGGCATAACTAAAAGTGCCCCAACGCAGCTCTACTTTTTTTGAAAATTCGGTGCAGCTAAAAAAAAAAACACCCTCTATACTGCAAAGCGTTAGGACTTCATACGTGCCTGTAAGCCTTTTCGTGTATTTTTACCTTTCTCATGTGCGGCTGAGTTCTTGCCATATGCTAAGTACCAGGTGATTGATAACCACGGACGTCAATGCCTTCGTACGTGACGAAACAAAATTGCGATCAGAAAAAATTTAGCTTCTAATGCTAATAGAAAAATACAATTGTTGGCCTTTGTGCTCAGAATTGTAATGGCCTAATTAAAACTGGGCGAACCTATTCAATGTGTCAAAATCAGGCCACACATTGTTTTTAGGCTTGAGTGACTCCTTAAGCCAATTCACACTGGGTTCTGTGGTCCTGAGTTGGCAAGAGACAAAACTCATTGGAAAACATGCAGGCTCATGTCTTATATATCGTCCTGTAAACTCAGAAATTGTTGTCTCCGTATCTTCGAGTATCTAAAAATTGCATCTAAGATTAGATAGCGAAATATTGTTTTATATTTTTAATATTACAAAAATCAGAGATCAGAAACCGCCTTTCCCCTGGGACCGGTTCGTGGTCATATCTAGCAGAGTACCGCAAGCGGGAGTTGGGCTTTGCC